ATGACCTCTGTTTGGTATCTGCTCTCCACTTAAGAGCTGTGTGGTTTGGCAAGTGTGACTTAATAGCTCTATGTCTCGAATTATACAACCAATTTAAAGGTTTATTTTTATAATTAAGTTATATATAGATATACATGCATATGTAACAGGTGCTTACCAAATGTACTTTCTTTTCTATTAACCATTTTAATATATGTGGTTTCTTACATAGTTGTTTTGAAAGTATTTTTGTGTTATCTCCCTAAAAGAATGGAAGTTCTTCCTATTCTAATGAAAATTGATAATGTTTTATTTATTTTTAAAGGAGAGAGTAATTACATATGTAGAAACATAACCAGTATATATAAAATCACACATAGATTTTAAAATACTATTTAAGTCCTTTGTGTATCCCTTCCTCTACCTCCCCCAATCTATGCTAGCACACTAAACTAAATTCACTAAATAAACTGAGCTCACTAACCTCCAAATATAAAATTCAATATCGAAGAAACTTGAAAATTTACAATCCATTGGTGAAAATGTATCAAAATATCTAATGAATCCACCTCTTCTTCCTTCTACTCCTCCCCCACCCTTATCTCGTAGTTATTTTTAACTGACTGAAAACTGTAGAAACTCAGCACTGTAAGACTTCATTACTTTTCGAGAATACACTATAGTATGTTTACTATAAATAATTCACACCATACTACACTTGTCAAAAGGAATGAACAAAGTATACATCATGGAACAGGAGCCTAGATTTTTATTGTTTTTGCTCACTTACCCACTAATTCTCCGACTGCAGCTCCCTGTCACTGTGAGTTAGACTGGTGCTGCCGTGTACAAATATTGTATTCTGGGTAATTAGATATTGGGATTGGGCCCTCTGTAAATTACTTTAACTGGTGTCAGTGCTGAAGCAAATAAGAAGTTTTAGCAAAACAGAAGTTTCAGTTCTGTTTCTAGTTTGGGTAATTTTCTGACCCTAAACAGCTTGACATAAAGGAGTGCTTTTCTTTGTCAAAGGCAGCAGCCTTTTCAAATCTAACTGCCAGACACACTATTGAGCTGTGTGTTCAATTCTAATTGGCTGAGAACTTTTCAATTTGGCAGTTTCATCTTTAATGCAATGGATATAAGATTATGTGTAGGTCTTTTCAATGGTTTTTCCATACTGGTGATTAGGGCAGAGGATTTGAACATAAGCAGGTTGGCTATTTCTTCTGGCCAATTTAAATTGATTCATACAAGTCCTTTGTACCCCAGGGAAAGGGAAGAACAAATCCAAGTGAGTAAGACAGCTATCGCTACTTTCAGATGGAATAGCAGAAAGGGAGGGGGGAGGCAGGCTTAGGGTTGGGAAACACTCTAAATATTGTAAAATTGGAGTCCTGAGTAGACTGGCAGAGAAATACTAAAACTTAACCAGTAGGCTTCTGTGTAGAATTAAGGTCACCAGGAAAATTATTTCCAAAATTTATTTTGATATCTTCAGGTTAAAAGGGCTATGTAAACCAAGAAACAACAAAACAAAAACAGACTCATAGCAACAGACCTAAGGAATGTTTACCAGAGGGGAGATGGTGAAGGAGTGGTGGAAAAAGTGAAGGCAAATATAGTCAATAACATTGTGATAAGTTTACATGGTGACAGATGATTAATAGAATTAATGAGATGATTGCATTGTAAGATATAAAAATGTAAAATCACTATGTTGTACACCTGAAACTAATATAACTAATATAGTATTGTATACCAACTATACTTAAATAAAAAAAAATTTAAAGGGCTTTGTAAATGGAAAGTTATTTTTATATCTGACCCTATAGCAGTGGTTCTCAACTTGTGGGTCGTGATCCCTTTGGGGGTAAAACGACCCTTTCACAGGGGTCACCTAAGACATAACAGTAGCAAAATTACAGTTATGAAGAAGCAACTAAAATAATTTTATGTTTGGGGGTCACCACAACATGAGGAACTGTATTAAAGTGTTGTGGCACTAGGAAGGTCGAGAACCACTGCCCTACAGGGAGCCATGGTGAGTCAGCTCTTTCCTGAACGATAACTCTTCCAGCACTGCAAAGCACCCCTCAATGTGCTGTATCAGAATATCAGACAGAGCACCAACTACCATTTTTGTTTGTATCATGTAAAAAACTTGTCTTAGAATCATTGAAACAGAGGTGAATGTTGTTGAAAAAGACTCAATTTTCTATTGAGAGGGTAGACTAGGATGGTCTTTTCAAATTGGGCACATCCAAAAGTACTCCTTTTCAAATAGATAGACCCTGGTTATGAGGTCTTTTCTTGTTTATCTCTCCTGGGATAGGAGGCCATTTCTACATAGTTTCTATTTTATAAAGAAAATCCAAGTGAAGTTTTAGTGCTTCTTCAATTCCATCTCCAACTTGCCGAGGAAAATCCTTAGTATGCCACATCCATTAATTTGGTGAGTCCCTCTCTGAGGGAGAAAGGAAAGCATTTCTTTATCTAAATAAAACAGGGACAGTGTATTGTTGACAATGTTTTATAAAGGCCATTTCAATTCTCCTTGAAAATGTAAAAATGATGCCACACTTCTCCAGCAAGAGAAAATAGCAAAAACTTTATTTTGTTGGTTTGCTTTGCTCTGCCCTAGAATATATGCAAAACATTCATCTGTCTCCTGAGTACTAACATTCAGTTTGTTAAAATGCATAGCAATAATAAAATGCAACACGGATGCCTGGCACATTAGCTGAACAAATAAGAGTGACATGCATGGCATGTGTAGCAGAGACCAGTGGCTAAATCCTCTAAGCTAAAGGAATTTTGTTGTCATTCGGTAGGAGCTCTTAGGAGCTTACACAATGATTTATTGTTTTATAAAGTGTGAGAATCCACACACCAAAAAATAAAGTAAAACCAGTTTTCAACTATCATTCTCAATCAACTCAACACAAGCAAAGCCAACCCCTGTGAAGAGCTAGGTGTAGCTGCTATTTCTGAGCTGTCTTCCGGAAGACTAATGCTTTGTAAACAGTCTTTCTCTGAAACTCAAAATTTTAAAGAAACACTGAGAATCACTTAAATAAATGCAACATCTGGAGTAACTAGAACTTGGTAAGGCCTCCAGAAGCTTCAGAATATGTACAATTTTCCAACTGATACTCAAGCATACAACTACCTGGAAATTTTTTTATAGAAAGTAAGAGGTCATTACACCTGACAGAAAAGCATACAGATACTCATCAAAAAAAACATGTACATGGACATTCACAGCAACAGTATTTTTAATAATCCATAATTAAAAATTATTCAAATGTCCCTAAACAGTAGAATTAATAAATACATGGTGTATAGTTGTAAAACATTCTACTATACCACAAGAATGAATGATCTACAACTATCTGAAACAATATAGATGAATTTCACAAAGTGGTGATCGAAAGAAGCCAGATACAAACATATATATAGCATAACATTCCATTCATATAAAATACAGAAATAGGCAAAACTAATATATGTCCCATGAAAAAAGTGTTACCCTTTTGGGGAAGTGATTGGAGGAGAATGTAAGTAGGGATTTGGGGTGCTGGCCATGATCTGTTTCTTTATCTGGATGCTAGAGTGAGTTCAGTTTGTAAAAATTCACTGAACTATAATGTGCAAATGTGTGTGTGTGTGTGTGTGTTTATACAATATTTAAATTAAAAGTAAGAAAGAGAACAGGCCTATATCTCCTCATTCCCTACTATTCCACATTGGCTCACTTGTCTTTATTAAAGTAACTCCTACATCAACTTTTTTTACTAGATATCTCCAGACCTATATGACTTTCTTTCTCCTTATCTATGTTCTTATAATAACTCCCCATTTCTATCCATCAAACTCCATCTCTCCTTTCATTAATGGACTTTCATGTTTTACTTCAGGCAGAAAACCTTTTAGATCAACCTGGTAGCCTGAGAAAACTTTCAATTTAGTCATTGTTCTTCCTTAGATTGAACTTCTAAGATTCTAGCATTTAAAATATAAGAACATTTCTTTACATACATTAAATATTCTAATAAGGCAATGCAGGAATCAAAGTCTGACATATTTTACAGTATTTAGTTGTTAACTTGCTGATTTCAATGACAATGTCTATTGTTCTATGTTGTCTAGAAATGAAAACTCCATAGAAGCTCATGTGTACAATGTATCTTAATAACAATGACAACATGCTGTTTCACCTTCTAATTGACTCTAGTTTCCTCTCCCTTAAAATGAAGAATTTGTTATTAATCATCTTTATAGTGCGATTACTACCAATGTTATCATTATTAAAATACCAATTTTTAGGTACTTATTTTGTGCCAGACACTGTTGTAAGCAATTTGCACATACTATCTCATTTACCCTTTACAATCTTTACAAAGAGCAGTAGTTATTATCCTCATTTTCCAGATGAAGAAACCGAAGTTCAGTAATAATAAATAACTTGCTCAAGATCCAAGAACATGGCTTGATTTAAACCCAGGTGGTCTCACATCACAGCCCAAGCTTGCCCCACTTTGTGCACAAGTAAGTTTATACCTAATCACCAATCATTGCCTCCCTTACTTTTTCTAGTGGAGGCATTGTCAGCAGATCTGACAAACATTCCTTCATTCATTGTATTTACTTCCTTTCTAAAAATTTGAATTTGCAAAAAAATTCCCCAGTATAAGAGATAAAGACTCACTCTATGTCTACTCTAAGAAGGTAACTATCATTAGCTGTCACAATTTCATTTCCCTCTAGTACCTAGGAATGTGACAGCTCATTCTCTTTACAAAGTGCCAATACCAAGAATGCCTTCAATTCATCTGCAGCTCAAGAGTTGCCTTCCCTAGGGATGGTCTACTGGACTCCTTGATCCAAGTCTGCAGTGAATCAAATATAATCCACAGAGAAATGGGAGTATACAAATCATGCAAGTAAAATATTATTGATGACATAATCTATGCACAATTCCTTATATTACTACAGAGATGCAATGATGAAACATATACCTTTTTCATAAGCCCACATCAAACACGTCTGTTCATCTTTTTCACCACTAGACCTGCTGGGATCACAGGCTACCAGATTCATATCAGCTCCATTATCCAGTAAGAACTGAACCAGGCGAATGTGACCATGGTAGCAAGCAGAGTGCAATCCTGTAATAGAATAGAATAAAAGTACAAAAGGAAAAAAGAGGAAAACAACATCAATTTTCAAAAGACAGTCATTACTACACAATAAAATTGTTGCCAGAGATATAAAGGAAGGATGTATTTTTTTGATAATTAATTAATTCTGTTATTTAACAAATAAGATATACTTTGGCAAAAGAAGTATCCTATTCTAGTTGATCTTCTATATAGGCTGCCTTTTGTTTAGTACAGTTTCTGGTATTTCCATATCCACTATAATTACCAAGAACAAATGTTAGCATCTTTGTACATATCCAAGAACAAAGACTCCAGGTGAGGATTTTTCTTGGTAAGCAAACTGAGGGAGGGCAGTGTGGTCAGTCTGTTCTTGGTGCAGGCCATAAGGGATTCATGGACCTTAGATAATTTAGCACAACAATGAAACTGACTCTAAGTCAGTTGTTTTTTTTTGGTGTCACCATGCACCATCAATTCTAAATGATGTAATTATTACATATCACTCCCCATTGGGCTGGGTGGACCAATCCTACTGCCCTTTCCTTCTTGAGCATATCACTGTTCTTGATAATTTCTGATATGCCTCATAAACTAGTAATGATATCACCACAGCCTTACCTGTGTGCCCATCTCTTCCTTGGTGGTTGATGCTTACAACATTTTGATCAAGAAGAAATTTAACCAGGTCAATGTTCTTGCCATAGGTGCAAGCACTGCAAAAGTATACCATAAAGAAAATAGAAGGCCCTTGTTATGGGCTGAGTTGCATGCCCTTAAATTAACATGCTGAAGCCCCAACTTACATCAACTCCAAAAGTGACCATATTTAAAGAGATACACTTTAAATTAAGTTAAACATGGAGTCATTAGAGTGGGTCCTAATCCAATAGGACTGGTATCCTTATAAGAAGGGGAGATTAGTATACAGATTACAGAAACAGAAGACAACCACATGAGCAGGGGAAAGGTGGCCCTCTAGCAGCCAAGGAGAGAGGCTTCAGAAGAAACCAAACCCTCTTGATGCCTTGATCTTGGACTTCAGAACTGCGAGAAAATAAGTATCTGATCAGCAAGCAACACAATCTGATATTTTGTTATGGCAGCCCTAGAAAATGAATATACCCCTGACTTACCCAGGCTATTCTAGATGCTGGTGTGTGTATTAGAAATACCAAAGAGACAGAGAAGGCAGAAGCAGGAAAGCAAAGAGGAGGAGGTGATGAAAACCAAGCACATATAAAATAAGATCCTGAAGATTCCCACACCTGGGTCTTCAAGAAAGGAGAGGAAAATTTCTAGCATTTTCTTCACAAATATTTGCTATGGTATTAATTCTTTTCCATAAAAAGAGGAAAAATATTGCAAAAGTTTAATGCATTTTTAGCCTACAGGACCTAGGCATTCTGCAGGACAATCCATGAGGGAACTCAGGAGGGTCCTGAGGGAGTCAGTCAAATCCAGGTCACGGTCTGAATTTTTTCCTCCGAAAATATTTGCACTCTCTCTCTAGAGTCTCCTCAGTTAGAGGGCAAAATTTCAGAGCTGTTGTTTTACTGAGGGAGCATTGGTAATGGAGTGAAAAAGCCAGACCTCTGGCACATGCTAGTACCCTGAAGACCTCAGACCAGTTCTTTGATCTCTCTCTTTTAGCTTTATCACCTATAAAATAATGATAATAATTTTCTACCTGCCACTTTGTTGCTGATATTTCAAGTGAATTGATGCTTATGGAAATAAATGACAAACTATAGAGGATTCTTCTTGGTAAGTTCTTCCCTATTGGGAGAATGTTTTTGTGGAAAAATTAACATATTTAAGGACCCCCCCACTCAATAAGATTCTTATTGATAAATTTTATAACTAGATTTGTTTAAGGAGGTAATTGAAGTTCTGATTTCTACCATTTACCTTGAAAGATTAGATGCACAGAGAAAAAAAAATTACGTAAGCTAAATTATGCCTAGTAATAACCAGTGGATTTTATTTTTTGACTAGCAATTCTCACAAATTTTCTTCTGTAGCTTCCCTCACACTTCTTTTTTGGCTATCACTTATTCACTAGCAACACTCTACTTCCAAATTGCAGGGATCTATATGGTATGTCTGGAAGGAGTAACATTGGATAGGGCCAATAAATAATGACTAAAGGAAGAGTGGAGAAACTCAATGATATTGTGATATGTGATAAGAAATATATATTTGGTTTTTATTTTTATTTATTTTTTATCCTCACCCGAGGACACTTTTTCCATTTTTTATTCAGATAGAGTGGGAGGGAGAGAGAGAGAGAGAAATATCAACGTGAAAGGAACACATCGAGTGGCTGCCACCCGCATGACCCAACCAAGGCCAGGGACAAACTGCAACCGAGGTACGTGCTCTTAGCGGGAACCGAACCCGGGTCTCTCTGGACCGCAGGCCGACGCTCTAACCGCTGAGCCAAACCGGCCAGGGCTATATTTGGTTTTTAACCCATCTCTTGGCCCAGAGCTGCTAAAACTCTTACAATTTCTTAAGCAAGCAGAGGCTCTTTCGTTATAAATTCGTTCTTTTGTCCTTGGTTCCTGAAATAAGCTCCAGAGCAATAAAAAGTAAAAGGAGAATCTTATGTTATTCATAACAAGCCCTTTTCAACTACAGCTGTGTTTATGTTAATAAGGTGATTTTTGGAAAGCCTCCAGATAACCACAGATGAGAGCTGGTTGTCAGGGGAACTAACCTTGTGATTAGAGGGTTGTCAGCCCCACCACCCAAGCTCAGGGAAGGGGAGAGGGGAAGGAGGTTGAATGAGTCACCAATGGTCCATGGTTTAATCAACCCTGTCTATGTTATAAAGCCTCCAAGAAGGTCCCTAAAGCACAGAATTGGAAGAGTTTCTGGATTGGTGAACACGTGGGTGTGCCGGAAGGCCCCATGTCCCTCTTGTATACCTTGCTCTATACACCTCTTCCATTTGGCTGTTCATGAGTTGTATCCTTTCATAACAAACTGGTGATCTTGTAAGTAAACTATTTTCCTGAGTTCTGTGAGATTTAGCAAATAGTTCTAGCAAATTATCAAACCCAACCAGGAGGTGGTGAGAACCTCCGATTTAGAGCTAATAGGTCAGAAGCAAAGGTAAAATCCTGGGCTCGTGATTGGCATCTGAAGTAGGGAGCAGTCCTGTGAGACAGCCCTTAACTTATGGAATCTGACACTAACTCCAGGTACATAGTGTCAGAACTGGATTGAATGGTAGGATGTACTCTTGATGTCTGCAGAAAATTAGAAACTTGGTTGATGTGGAAAAAAATCACACACAGATATATTCCAGAAGTGAACTAGTGTTGTTGTTGTTTCGTTGGTTTGTTCCAGGCTTGGTCCTAGAAGAGGCAGTTCCCCGGGTCCTACTATAACCTCTTCCTTGGATGGCCTTGAGCAAATTCTTTTCTTTAATGAAATATCACTATTTTCTTTAAAGAAACACCATTATTCATCTAGCTGAACTGTTCCCTCTGTGAAGTCTTGTCATGAACCAAAGACTGAGTTCATGCTGTCTCCTCTGTTTTCTTGCCATTTCGGTCTTTGGCACTTATCACATTTTAATGGTAATGGATACACCTCTGCTTACCTTGGTCCCTTACAACAGAGTTCTTCTAAGAAAGGAAGGACTCTTGTGACCTCAGTGTTTCTACCAGCACTAACACAGACTGGTTCTCAATAAGCCTTTCTTGAATAATTAATTGAGTGAATAAAATCTACAATCTCACTGAAATAGAGCTTATCAGCACTGATTATTTGCATTATAAGGAGTACCCATAATACTACACCTTTAATGTCCCACTGTCTAAATTCCCTCATTGCTCCTTTTCAAAGCAACTATTTATGGGAAATGATGAGTTCTGAATATATATATATATATATATATATACACACATATGTGTATATATATGTGTGTGTTTATATATACATATAAAACAATAACAGAAATAAATGTGTTGAGTGCTTACTATATACAAAGCACTGAGATTTATACATGGAATAATTTTTTTTTAATCATCACTCGAAGACATTTTTCCATTAATTTTGACAGAGTGAGAAGGAGAAGAGAGACATCAATTGGTTGCCTCCCGCACGACCCTGACCAGGACAGGGACTGAACAGCAATCGAGGTACGTGCCCTTGATCAGAATTGAATCTACGACTCTTTGGTCTATGGGCCGTAAGTGCTGAGCCAAACCGGTCATGGCTGTACATGAAATAATTTATATTTAGAGTAAATTTCTCATGTAAAAGGAAAGTTTGTCTTATAAATCCATGCTCAAAGTGAATAAAATGAAAACATTATGTTATATCTGGTTGCCACAGGCTTGCACAAAATAAAACAACTGAACATACTTTTAACTCAACTTCACTAATCTTGCCACATAAGCAATCTTTGGGAAGTGACAATCACCTTCTGATTAGAGTTGGTTCCAATTTATGTGCACAGAATAGCAAAATGATTTGAAAACTAGCCTGAGGTATCAGCCTTAACAAGCATGACCTATGGGAAAAGAGAACACCAGCAACCTGTGCACATCAGCTCTGCTAATTGTCCCCTTCCGTGACACATTCCACTGATCCATTCTGACTGAAGGTGTGATCTGAAGCGTTCTTGCATCTGTTCTGTTACAGAGTGTATAGAAAACAGACAAAATGTTTTAGTACTAGAACATGAAGATATATAAAAAGCACAGGATTTGGGATTAGGTAGGTATTTACATGATTTTCTAGCCATAAGAATTTCTGGCAAGTTTCTTAGCTTCCCTGAGCCTCGATTTTCTCGTCTGTAAAAGAAGGATAATAAATCCAACTTTATAAAATGGCTATGAGGATTAAATAAGATAATAGACACATAATCTGGTGTATAGTCACTCCGTAAATGGTAGTTTTCTTTGCCTCCCTTTTTTCTGACCTCTTGGTTGACAAGACAAATCTAGAAATTCAAGTGAAAATTGACAGGTTGATGCCTAAGGCAGAAGCAAACGCTTAATTTTAGTGCACCATGAAAAAGATTCCTCACTTCATGATTTACCAGTGTAATAGAAACACTTTGTAAATGATCTAAATGTAGAGTCCCATGCTTATTTTGTTTATTTTTTTAGAGGTTACAAACTAGCCATGATCTGTAATGTGGAGGTAAATTATCTTCAAGTTTTACTAACTTCAAATTATTATGTTTTTATTTTTATAGCCAAATAGCAACTTGTTAAAAATGAGCGTTTTAAATTTCATAAAACTTTGCTTTATTTTTTTAAATGTTATAAAACTTTGCCTTCCTTTTGAACATTTCAGGGAGTTATAGCTCTGAGTTATTAGTTACCTTCTCCCTCCCTCCCTCCCTCCTACTCTCCCTCCTCCCTCCTATCTTTTTTTTTGTTGTTGCAACTTTTCTAAACCCAGCTGCTCCTTCAGTCTGCTTTTCTAGAGCAAAAAGCATACTGTAAAGGACTCTTATAGATGCCTAGAAAGGAGCTAATGCCTCCTTAGGTATCTCAGTGACTACCCTAAGCTTTCATAGGCTGACAGATGGATGTCTTAGATAGGTAGACACATTTGCACAGGGAAAAAAAAAGTGTCACATTTAATGTTGATGAATTCTGGTAATGAGATTCTTGTCGGAGGAGGACTATAGGCACTGCCCCTTTTGGCAGCTTTCTGAGGAGTGAAGTGGAATAGAAACAATATGCTTACAGATGTTGATATGCCTGTTGCCTTGGCAACATCAGTCCCTGTCTCTGTGGCGGCTGCCAGGGATGCAGCATCTGGCACAGGCCCCATCTGTTGTACTGACTGCAGCATCTGCCTCTACCTTTTCTTCTGTGCATGTAGCTTGGGCTCCTTGTCTTCTGCCCACCCTCTCCTCTCGCTCTCTGATTGCAACATCTGCCACTATTTGTTCTTGCTGTATGTACACAACTGCAGGTGCCAGAGGGTGTCAGCTAAGTGTAGTGGCGATTGTATTTAAATATTCATTTACCTGTGAAAAGCTGTTTCACTGAAGATATTTTCCTTAGTCAGACTTTCTGTTCCTGATATTTGGATGATTTCCTTGGCGACTTCAAATTTGCCATTGTAGCATGCCCTAGAGTTAAAGACATGTTTTGATAATGGTAGAAAGGCACATGCCATATGCCTGGAGGGCATATAGAACTATACAGAACACTCACAGGTGCAAAGGGGTGTCTCCATAGATGTTAACAACGTGTGGCTGAACTTCCAAATTGCTCTGGAGCAGGAACTTCACTATGTCGTGGTGCCCGAAGCGAGAACAGAAATGGAGTGGGACATGGTCCTCATTGTCCTGGGCGTTCACTGTCATCAGCAAGAAAGGGAAAGGTGTGTTACCTGGAGTCCTGTTTCTTAGCCTTCTCATGGGTAGTGTCAGGAACTTTTTCTAAGTGCCTGAGAGACTCCTAGAAATTGCCAATTAATGATAATAATAAAGGAAATTAAGTGCAACCAATTTAAAAAGTTATAATTATATTCTATTGCCTATTACCATGTTAAACGGGCTTTCTTCTAGTTCCCATAAATTCCACAGAACTCATCTAATCAAATCTACCTTGCACAATGGAATAGTTCAGGAAACTAATATGCACCTAAAAGGTACTCATGGCCTTAATTTCACAAGTATCTCCTTTCAAATTGATTTTTCCCCTCTCTAGAGGACGTTAAAAATTACAGATCCTGGCCAGGGCACCATTTCCCAGAGATGTGAGTGGAACAAACTGGGGAGGGGCTTGTCTCTCTGTATGTTTACAACACTGTTGAGGAGCCTCTGATATAGTCTTAACTGAGCAAGATCACACTATGCTGTGCAAAGCATGGGATACAAAAAGCCGTGAGCTTCAGAGCCAGGCAGACCTCAGCAATCCTGTTATCGCACAGTTATTTAGCATTCAGCTGTTCACACAGTAGTGGCATTTGCCCTTCTCTTTGGACCACCCAGGCTTATAACCTAGTCTCACATTTGTGGAATTCCTTATACTAAAAATACTGACTAGAGGCCAATACCACCTTCTAGCATAGAAGCTGAACATATTTCCAAGTGTCCCTTGCAGCTAGGGAACAGGACTGGCAGAGGGTGACCGTATGTCCTGGTTTAGGCCTGTTAGCCTCGCACAATATTGGATAGTGACCCCTTCGCTCTCTATAGTGCCCTGGTTTGGACACTTCTCTGTAGGCTCCTCCAACCCACACATTGTATCAGACTCTGACACTGAAGCTGACGACACACAGAGCAGAGCCTCAGCCATCTGGGCCGGGCAGCTCCAACCAGGTTCCAGCAGCATGATCCAGCCCAGATTCAGTGCCCTGCCCTGCTGGTGCCAGAATGGCACATGTCCCCATGTGTGCCTAGCAGGGTGGCCGTGTGTCTTCATAGGACTGATTCTCACATGTGATTTTGGATATTGTTCTTCACTGTGAGGATTCCAAACCTGGCTTTCCAGCCCTGTCTCAGGGAAGATTTTGTACACTGCTTGATATCCTTTAATATATTCTTTTTATAAATTAGCAAGCATTAGTTTCCAATGCTTGCACATGAGAACACCAGACTGATACATGCTCATTCCTCAACAAGTATTAAATGATCACTATGCAGCAGCGCTGTGCTGGGTGGTGGACGTATTGATTTTTTACCAGTAACAATAGATGTAATAACACCATTGTTGCAGGGATGCTGAAAGGATTAATAGAGAGCGTAATTGGAAAGCTTCTAGCCTGATGTCTGTCACATGTTAGACATTTAATAAAAATGTCTTCTCTCCCTTTTCACTAATTTCCCTTCTAGAAATTTGCTAAGTGCTAAGACCAATAAGCTATAAATGCATAGAGTCTTTACCCTCATATACCTTACAACCTAGTTGGATAGTCAAGAATTAAGGGGCTAAAGTAATAATAACTGAACAACAAACTGCTAAATTCTGGATCAGCTTTAGCATAATTTACAAAACTAAAATAACTGAATCAACTGGCTTATACCGTTTTTTATTATTTGATTACTCCACCTGTACAGGGTGCTCTATTCAAGAAAGAAAATAATAGTCCTTAACAAACTATATATTTATTAGAAATTATTCATAGAACCAAAAGAATTGAAAGAAAAAAATTTAATGATGAAGGAAAGGAAGGGAAAAGAAGGAAAGAAAATAGTTAATTAAAAAAAGTACAAGTAGTTTATTACTACTTACTGTTGTTATAATCATCATTTAACATGTAATGAACACTGATTTAGACCTTGTAGCTGCTATATTTTTAGATAATGATTCTCATTTTATTTTCTTGCAAGATCTTAAACCACAGAGAAATTCTTTAGCAAAGTCACTGAATTCCTCCTCCCAAAGCTGTCATTAAAAAAAAATTCTTTGCTTCTTTTCTATTAATGAGTGACTCAGAAGGAAGCCCTTCCTTCAGAAAAATGTTCCTGGCTGTTTTGATGATCTTCCTTTGTATGATACTGTTCCTTTGTTCACATTCTGTTGGAAGCCAGGGAAAGTCAATACTGTGAGTTGACGTCTGAGGACAGTAGGTAGCCCAGAGTATCTGGAGGTCACATAAGAGTTCTTGGCTTCTAGAGGGAACATTGTAAAGCAGAATGCAGCACAATCTTCCATTAATTCATACCTTGCCTTTGCCTCTCCCTGGCCCTACCCAACATTATTCTTCTATAGTTGAATGGAGAAACTTCAAAGTAGATTATCTACTTGGTGAATTATCCCCAGGGGCTTAGATTTTCTTCTCAGTCAAAAGATGTAAATGTCAATCAAAGGAACAGGTCAGGAGAAGTCTGGGTCAGACGCGGAGCTTATGTGTGCATGCCCACATTTATGCTTCGGTCACTTTGATTTACTTAGTTTTGTCTTATATCAGTTTGCAAGGACAAAAAAAAAAAAGTATATATTATTATATCTTATCTGAGTAAAATTAGATGTATGAATGGTATTCTATTTGCTCTAATGGAACATCTTATTGAGATATTTAAATAAAGTAGAATTTTGCCCAACCAGTGTGGCTCAGTGGACTGAGCATTGTCTCATGGACTGAGAGCTCCTGGTTCGATTCCTTAGGGCACATGTCTGGGGTTTTGGCCTCAATCCCCAGTAGGGGGCATGCAGGAGGTGGCTGATTGATGTTTCTCACATCTATGTTTCCATGTCTCTCTCTTTAACTCTCTTTCCCAAAAATCAATAAAAACATTTAAAAATAAATAAATAAAGTAGAATTTTAAGTAAAGAAATACATGTAAATCATTATTAGGAAAATATTTAGTGCCTATTCCTCTACTTGTAAGAGCAAAGGTGTTCAGTGTCTTTTGAAAGAAAGACTGGATAAATGGGTGGGTGAATGGATGTTGCTGTTTGCATATATCTATTTATTGATTTTTATAGATAAAATAAAAAGTTTCATAATAACCCAGCCATGTCAGCACATACCATTAATTCTCTAAAGCAACTCCCAGTGTGTCTTAAATAAATTTTCAATAATAAATCTGTGTAATAATTCTGACAACATATATTTTTTAAAAAATAAATACTTCCTCTTATTGACCACACCCTGGAAATTTTTGTGACTTTCTGTAATATTCGTTTCATGTTAAAAGAACTATAGAATTTAACAGTCAGAGGACAACACATTTTAAAATTCTGGATTTTAAACATTGTGTGGACTGAGTTACCATTTTCTTCTTATGGGGTCCAACAACATTTTGACCTTTTCAATCTCATTCAGTAAGCATTCTATTGCTCCCTTTTCAGGCCTAAGAAAGAAGACTGGCGACTCAAAAAATACATAACTGAATAGGACAGTCTCCCAAACATTTTGAACTGGAGAGGTTGTTTTCAGAACTGCATTTTGGCTAATTTTGTAACAGAAATTTATTTTTATTTGTGACATTCTGTTACCAAGGAAACATACTGTAAATACCAGATTTCAAATTGTGCTCCTTTTGGGGTCATTCATTTATTCTTCCTCCTATGTCCATTTACTACAGGCAAATAAATAAATCATCTGGAGGCTTAGCTGCATTTTGGAATCAGTGAACTAGCTAATAATAAATACTGTGTGGCCCAGCACGTGAGGCTCAGCGGGTTGAGCATCATCCATGGACTGAGAGGTTCCAGTTAGATTCCCAGTCAGGGTACACACCCAGGTGGCAGGCTCGATCCCCAGTGGCAGGTGAGCAGGAGGCAGCCGATGGATGTGTCTCTCTCATATTGATGTTTCTATCTCTCTCTCCCGTCCTCTCTCTAAAAAAAAACAACAAATCAATGAAAACATATTTAAAAACAAACAAACAAATAAATCCTGTATAATGTCCACCAGCACAACAGATCTTTTGGGTTATTCTTTGCAGTTGGTCGAAGTGCAAAAAGGACTCGACTATCAAGTGTGTATTAGAAGAAAAATTTTAAAAATACCTAAAAACCTGAGTCATGCTGTCTCTCCATTTTTAAGTGATTGAATAGGAAGCATGGAGAGCCTGTGTCAGTCAGAAAGATAATGCTTATAATTATATCATATGATGCCGGTATGTAGGGAGAATACAGGTACAGTATACATTTCAATACCTTTTGTAGAAGAGTCCTTTCATCCTGGAGACATGCTGATCATAAATGACACTCATTTTGACACCACTGAGCTTTAGAGTTACGAAGATGGGTAAAAAAGTAGAGGTTGGCATTGATAATAAAAGGAAAAAAGTGGAGCAGTTGCTGACCCCTTGGAAGAGCGAGGCGGTTTCAAAGACACTTGTGTTCAGTGGTGCACAGAGGTGTACCTCTACCTATTCTCTACCCACAGAATCACAGAGACTGCTTAAACAAGGTCCAGGAACAGCTTTCCTTGCGTCCTGAGAGCACAGGATGCTAATGCTATAAAGATGCCTAAGTCATTGCACACTGGCTCACAGAAAATGACACCAACTATGTTCCTCCAAGTTTACAAACTAAAATGGCCCTGTTTTCAACATGGAACCTGGACACCGCCTCAGCCTCTCCTCTTAGTTGTCTCTGGGAGGCTTCATCTTTGCCTTGTGAATAAATGTAAACACTGATCCGCTTTGTTCCCTGAATATCAATCTCAATTTTGGACCAAAAAACTGGAAGTTCTAGAGCTTTGACAACCTTGTCCTTTTCTAAACGTGCACCGCTGCTGCGCAAAGGCCAGCAGCTCTTCCAGCTGGGCTTGTAATGAGGTCTCCTGGGGTCAGCGGAGGAGTCTGGGTATGCCCGAGACAATTTCAGGACAAGATGGAAGTCGGAGTGAATCTGTGTCAAAGTCAAGTTTGTGAGGAAGAGAAAAAGAAAGAGAAAGAAATCTTTTTTTTCATACTCTACTTTCAATCAATTTTTCAAAATCCATTTTATAATTTAAAAATACAGAGTTGCAGGAAATTCTATTCTATTAATGGCATATAAATCTTTAGATGTATTCTAAAGCTTTTTTTTTTTTCCCTCCAAATTTATCACAGTCTAACTTTATTTCCATTAAAAAAAATAGTAATATCACATACTGGGGGAGGTATGGGGAACTCTCATATATTGATGTGGGAGTGGAAAAGGGTACTGACACTTTGGAAAACTGTTTGAAATTTCCTCAGATGTTAAACATGTGCATATCCTCTGAATCAGTAATTTTACTCATATCTACTATTATCTACCTGTCTATCTATCTATCTATCTATCTATCTATCTATCTATCTATCTATCCATCCATACACACACACACACACACACACACACACGAGACATGCATACATATGTCCACAAAAAGAATTGCATAAGAATATTTCTGGCTGCTATATTCATAAAAGCCAAACACTCAAATGCCCATTAGGAGGAGAATCAATAACAAATTCTGGAATATTCATACAATCTTCAGCAATAAAAACATAGCAATGAGACATATAAATGTCTCATAACTATGTTGTACACTTGAAACTAATATACTAATGTATGTCAACTGTAATTGAAAAAAAATGTGTAAAAAATTACAAACTATGATTCATGCAACAACATGGATAAAAGTAAAAATCACTGTGTTGATCAAAAGAAGTCAGTCACAAAATTATATTAACTGCCAGAACAGAAAAATAACTAAGCTATGGCAATAGAAGGCAGAATACTGATTACCTTTGGTGGTGAAAGCTATTTACTTAGAAGGAGGCAGAAGGGAAATTTCCAGAGTTTAACTTTCTTTTTTTTTTTTTTTTTATCCTCACCCGATGATATCTTTCCATTTTTTGTACAGATAGAGTGGGAGGGAGAGAGAGGAAGGGAGAGAGAGAGAGAAACATCGATGTGAAAGGGACACATCGAGTGGCTGCCACCCGCACGACCAACCAGGGCCGGGGACAAACTGCAACCGAAGTACGTGCCCTTAGCGGGAACCGAACCCGGGTCTCTCCGGACCACAGGCCGACGCTTTAACCGCTGAGCCAAACTGGCCAGGGCTCCAGAGTTTAACTTTCCAGTTGAAATACTTTCAACCTCACAGATGAAAAAATTCTGTAGCTTGATCTGGGTGGTTTTTACATGGGTGTATGTATAAGTAAATATTCAGTTAAGTCAATATTCACTTAAGATTTAAAATTTTTTCTGTATGCCTAGCTGGTGTGGCTCAGTGGATTGAATGTCACCCCATGGACAGAGAAATTCTGGTTTGATTTCCAGATAGGGCACAATCCTGGGTTGTGGGCCTGATCCCCAGTAGGGGCGTGCAGGAGGCAGCTGACAGATGCTTCTCTCTCACATAGATATTTCTATCTCTCTCTCCCTTCCTCTCTCTCTAAAAAATCAATTATTGAAAGCCCTGGCCAGTTTGGCTCAACGGTTGAGCATCGGTCTGTGGACCAGAGAGTCCTGGTTCGGTTCCCGCTAGGGGCACATACCACACACAAAAAAAAATATTGAAAAAAATAAAATTAAAAATTAAAATGTTGCTGTATGTGTGTAAACTTTATCCCAATTAAAATAAAGATGAGTGAATAACAACAAATGGAATAATTCCTCCCTTTTACTGCAGACCTAATATATTAAGAATTGAGCTGAAATGTACAAAGAAGAATAATTGCTCTTTTAAAAATAATGGATTATGACTTACAGAACAAATGAGTACATAAGTACACAATTAATTATCTTTAAGATTACTTTCTAGTAAATAAGAAAAGAGAGTAAAGGTCTTCTAAATATATACTCTTACCATCTGCTCTGCTGCCATCTTCCACCAAGAGCTTAGCAATATTAAAGCATCCTCTTGCAGATGCTAGGTGCAGGGGTCTGTCTCCAACTTCACCACTTACATTTACATCAGCACCAAATTTCAAAAGGAGGCGGGTTATCTAAAGGATGCATTCATTTAAAATTAGTATCAAAAGTAAAAAAAAAAAAAAAATAATAATAATGCATGCCCTGGCCAGTTTGGTTTAGCAGTTAGAGCATTGGCCTGCAGTCCAGAGAGACCCAGGTTCGGTTCCCGCTAAGGGCACGTACCTCGGTTGCAGTTTGTCCATGGCCCTGGTTGGGTCGTGCGGGTGGCAACCACTCGATGTGTCCCTTTCACATCGATGTTTCTCTCTCTCTCTCCCCCCCTCCCACTCTATCTGAATAAAAAAAAGGAAAAAAATGTCCTCAGGTGAGGATAAAAAAAAAAAAAGAAAAAAATAATAATGCAAAGCTTTCGGTAATATGGAGGAAGACATATGGTTAAGGCCTTCTCTTAAGTTATTTCTACCTGAAAATGACAGAAAATCTTAACCCAGTTGATTTAAAAATAAGGAATGTATTATTACATCACCTATCAAGATGTTTACAGCTAGAAGGATTTGAGGTTGGGTGTTCATTGCACATAAATAATCCTCTCCAAAGTCACCCATAATTTACTGAAGAATTTTTTCTCCTTCTGGCTAGAGATAGCAGTGTCTGCTTGATTCTTGATTTTCACATCACCTCCATTCATAGGTCTCTCCTGGTCATGGTCATCTTGCTAATGGACTTCTGAGTCCTCTTCTGCATTGCTTGGTAAAGGAAAGAGAGCTGCACTAGCCCTCAGCATCTTCCCCAGTTCACTGAGATCACATCCAGAGGGATAGAAAGACAAGAACTACTTAGGAGTCTACTAGGGGTTGTTTCAGGTAATTGGGAGTCCTTCAAATTATTTACATATTCACTTAGGACCTTCCAAATAATTTCTCTACACCTGAGGTGGCCTCCCCTGAGATTTCAGAAGTCATCGCAGTGATCCCAAGAAGTAAGTTAGGATGCATTTGTGCCATTAAAATAACAGTTATGGGAGGACCCTTCACTTGTCCTGACTGCTGAGGTGTCAGCATAGTAGTGAACTTAAGTTCTAAAACTGTTTTAACTTTCTACGTGGCATCAAATAAACATGTCTTGGGGAGAAATCTCTCAGGAATATGGTACATCTGTGATAGAAATTCTAGGCAAACAATTAGCCTTGTGGGATGTAGGCAAACTTCTTATTGAATGTAGTGGGTAAGCAACAAAGATTCTAAAAATTAGACTTCTTTTGATTAGCTATGCCACCTTAAATGAATTATCTGATCTTTTGAAACTTCAGTATCTTCATTGCTAAGATAGAAAAAATAATAGTTCAACCTCACAGAGTTGTGAAAATTAAATGAGTGATTACATATAAAGCACTTAGAAAATGTTGGCAGAAGTGATAGCACCAGTGTGAAATGTGTATTTTGTCCCTTGGTTGGCTAATGGGTAGACCAATATTTACTTCAGGAGAAATAAGAGCAGTAGAAGTTTAATCTCAAGAACCTTGCACTCCTAAGCAGATATTTCCACTTACACAGACTCTATAAATTCTGATGATGTGACTTTATAATGGACAGATTTAAACTATCTTAGAAATCGATTGTCTATTAAGTGGTATTATTATATACCTAGGAAATATTGCTCTTGGTACACAACATCTACTCTTCTACTTAAAAATAAGTAAATAAACAAATGGCAAGGAACATGGCACATCAGGCGCATTCATATGCTGAATGGACCATTCTCCCGTCAGCATATTTTAGCAAATGACAATAGCATCCATAAATTACTTATGCACTGTCTTTGCGTACAGAAAGCGAGTCCCTTATTGTAAAAGGGCCATCCACAATTTAGCATAATTGCGTAAGACATTGACTGTATATTCAGGGGAAGTAAACACATTTAGCTCTACATGAAACATGCATAGAAGCGCTTTATATTTCTGCTGGGTGACGAGGTTAATATCCAAAGAGAATGACTGTACAGATAACATGCTTTGTGTATACCCTGTCTGTGCCTGCAGTCAGAAAAATATGGCCTTTTTTTATCACCTGGGCTTTTGGACCCTGTACTTTCAAAAGCATTTTCAGTGGCCGGCTCTCCAGTGCACTCCAGTGCTCTGAGCAGCACATCAATGAAATGAGCTATCTTCCCTAGCTATAGGTCACACTTCACAGTTCTGAGAGTGTCCGAGCATATGCCAGCTAGAAAAGAAATAAAGGCAGAATGACTAGAAGAGCACAGAGACATAAGTAAGTTTGATTTTCAACTTGGGATCCTCGGGCAGTGGCATGACCTCTACAAAGGTAAAAAGGTATCATTCTACTCCATAATGAGTAAGACTAGTGATCTACAGATACAAAATGAGGAAGAATGAAAATGGGATGTCAAAAGAACGCTTACATTTTGATTTTCCAATTATAGTTGTGTTTCTATTTTATTTTATTCTATTTAGTTCCTTGAGTATAGCTAAAGGGCAGCGTTTGAAAGTAGTGTGTGAAAATTTTGTCTTTCAGTATATTAAGGTTGACAATCAATGGACTTTGGAGTTAGAGCACTTGTCCTTGCATTCTAGCTCCACCGCTTAGGTAAACTGCCTGGACTTCCTGACTTGGTTCACTGTTACAAGAGGGATAACAAGAGGCTCTTGGGTACAGTAGGATGAGTATTGGCTTTCAGATCAGACAGACCTGAATGCATATTCTAGATTTTGTATTATTAGCTGCATGACTCTGGCATGCTACCTGACCCGAGGGAGCTCTGTGTAGCATTCATAACAAGGGCCAAGAGACAGCTCATTTCAGGTTGTGGCAAAATTTTTTAAAAATCTTCATAAAGGTCTTAACACAGGACCTGTCCTACAGTAAGAGCTCACTCACATCTTCAGTTCATAAGGTTGTCGGGAAGGTCAAATGAACTTATTTATTAAATGAAGGTACACTGTAAACTTTATTTATTTATTTTTTTTATCCTCACCCAAGGACATTTTTCCAGTTTTTGTTCAGATAGAGTGGGAAGGAGAGCTAGGAAGATGAGAGAGAGAAACATTGATGTGAAAGGGACACGTCGAGTGGCTGCTACCCGCACAACCAACCAGGGCTGGGGACAAACTGCAACCGAGGTACATACACTTAGCGGGAACCGAACCCAGGTCTCTCCGGACCGCAGGCCGATGCTCTAACCGCTGAGCCAAACTGGCCAGGGCTAAACTTTAAAGCATTCTATGCATATTATTACTTTATTACAGAATATCAAAATTTGTAAGTATGTGCCTGTTAAATAATTATATATTTAAAGCAAATTATGTCTTTAAAGCACATTTAATGATTGTTTTTTAGTTTATCTAGGTTAATCCACATATCAGTTTCCCATTTTCACTGCAGCAAATTACCACACTCTTGTTGCATTAAGACAACACAGATCTATTATCTAGTAGGTCTAGAGGTCAGCAGTCTAAAATCAAGGTGTTAGGTTGCATTCTCTCCGGAAGCTTTCATTTTCTTGCCTTTTCAGCTTCCATGGGCTGCCTGGGCTCCTCCCGTGTGGCCCCTCCCTGCATTACTTTCACCTCTTGCTTCCATTGTCCCATCTCCTGTCAGTCACTCTGACTTCTTGCTTTCTGTGATCAGGACCCTTGTGATTACATAGGACATCCAGATAATCCAGGGTAATCTCTAATCGCAAGGTCCTTATCTTGATCACATCCCACATCCCCAAGGTCCCTTCTAAGGTTGCATTCACAAGTTTTGGAAATTAGAACATATTTGGGGAGATATTTTCCAGTTTACCACATCCCCTGACAATAGAAAAAAAGAAACCCAGTTTCTGAATAATACCTTTTTTCATATAACTGTTGGAAAGAACTCTGCGATTTGTTTCATCGTTATTGTCCTAAGCATCAACACAGTGACATTTATTACGCATTTGCCAAACACTTTAATAGTTTGTCATAGCAGCAACCCTATACGCCCGATGAGGTGGGTTCTGTTAATATTTTCCCCATTCTATAGATGAAGAACTGGAAGGTCACGTGGTCATAAAGCTAGGAGTTTTCCAAACTCAGACTGATTCCTGTGGCCCCCCACCTACCAGTGTGCTCTCCTGCCTTGCTTGCTTACTAAAATAATCAGTAGAAATGAATGACTCAGCAACTGCATTGCTTCTGTGCATCTATAAGCTCCTCAAGGGTGGAGCTGATAAGAATATGGAAAAAAATAATTCAAAGGATATTTTAAATGTCATTTCTTTGAAGCTAGGACAACTCAGCAAAAGCCTGGAACACTCGCGTGGTCCCCAGCCCTTGGAAACACTACTGTCAGACTCACCTGTTCATGCCCATAGTATGCTGCAATGTGCAATGGGGTGAAGAACACAGCATCTTGGACATTGACATTAGCGCCATGTTGCAGCAGCACATCGGCAGCCTGGAAAAGAAAGTGCGCTTAGGAGCTTTGTTTCGGGAATCTGCCCATGAAAGTTCATTTTACAACCACCATACCCAACCAATGCTTTTCCAGGAATCACCGTACTGAAACATATTTTTCTTCTAGCTCCCTTCTCCAAATCCTCCAGTGGCTTGTTTTTGCCTAGAAATAAAGACCAAACCCCTCACTATGGCATTCAAGGTCCTCTCAATCTGATGGTATCTTTTTCAGTTATTTCCCATTATTCGCTGTCATAAACAGTCATATAGTCAAACTGCACTTTGCTTCTTGCTCCTTCTGAGTATTTGTTCATATTGCTTCCTCAGCCAGGAATTCTCTTCTGTCCAATCCGCAGGTGTTTAAATTCAAGCTAAATGCCATCTCCTCTAACATTTATTTGATTTTCCTTGCTTCCTTGCCAACTTACTTGTCCTCCTTCCTCTCATACAACTTTTTTTTTTTTTCCCCACACTATTTAGGAACTTGAAGAATTTATATACATGCCTTATTACCCTTACTAAAGAGAAAGTGCTTTAAGGATAAAGTACATATCAGATTCATCTTTATAATCCTACCCTAGCATGTGGCCATGCAAATATTAATCATTCAATAAGCATTTGTGGAATGAATGAATGAATGAATGAGCAAGAAAAAAACAACCAGTAGCTGTTGGCCAATTGTCTTCATAAAATGCCATAGATCACCAACAAATCTGCTGGAAAAATTATTGAAATAATTTCCTTAAGATGTGTTCATTTTCATTGTGGATTTCCCTAATGAACAGTTTATTCTTCATTTGGTCAAAAAAACACATTTGAGAAAATTTTCAAAGTCTGTTAGACCTGAAGACAATTCAGGAAGATGGGATCTAAGAGCCCGAGGGACTTCTACTCCAACAACTCTTCAGCTCCTATGAACAAGTTTACTCCTAAGTCACTGTTTCCTTGCCTGATTGAATCACACCCCCTCAGAATTGGAGAGGGACCATGGACATTATATGTCAAACCCCTATATTTGAAAGAGGAAGAAATTGACCATCAGAGGAAATAGGAAATTTCTTAAAGTCATGGAGCAAGTCTCTGACAGCAAGGAAGTGAATCTTTAGTCTCTTGCTTCAAGCTTTATTTCCAAATATTCCACAGTTTTGAATAGCTCATTCATCAACCATCTATGTATTCCTGCATCAAGCACAATTTATTAAGCATATATGAGCTAAAATTGTTATTTTACATGGTTATCCTCACTGATTATTCAATCTCTGGGACAGTATTAGAACTGATTGTAATTGTAAAAAAAAAAATAGTGATAAAGAATTCGTGTTAGAACATCTAAAATTTCTGGTGGGTCCCAAAATATAAGCAGGTGTATACACTTCTGTACATTTTCAGGATAATGCTTTTGCTGACTAATCATTAGTAGAATACATCATATGTACAGTGAATTGTTTTTCTAATACATAATTAAGACCACAATTAACATTTATTGAGGACATATTATGTGTCAGGCTATGAACTAAATGCATTAATAGTAACTGGAGTGTCCTCTAACTGTTCTACCCCAAAACAAAGAAAGGCAGATGCTGCTGCCTCTTTTTAAAGTAGAAGGAACTGAGCCTTGTAAAGGCTAGGCAACTTACAAGGTCATACAGCCAGTCAGGACCAGAACTGGAATTCAAATCTAGGTCTTTTTGACTTTAAAGTTTTTTTTTTCATCAAGCCTTTCCTGTAACCTTGATCTCATTAACATTAACCTTTAAGTAGATGAACTAACTGACTCAATCTCAGATAAGGGGAAGTGTTCTGTCAGTTAGAAGCACTGTAGATTCAGCTTCTAAATGAATGCCAGGGCCATTTATATCAAGCACTTGTATCTTAGACTTCATATGCCTGGAAGTTCAATCTCAGGAACCTTTAAAAGAGGTCACTAACGATCAAGGTAAATGAAGCTTTTTATCATTTCTCTTATTTTAAATATAGCATAAAATAGATGGCATGCACTTTTATTGTAATAAAAGACTCTCAAATGCTAACACATGGAGCTAATTTCTTAGGCATAGTTCCAGAACTAACTTTCATTCTAAACGATAACAGCTCTTAGGCTTCAATAAATAGTCCAAAGCAATTTTTTTTTTTCTCTCCTGAGTTTGGACTTATCCATTCATTCAGAAGGTCAATCTTTGGCTGAACATTCATGAATTATAAACTGTTGGCTTTCTGAGAAACTTCAAAATGTAAGTTTTAATGAAACCATACAGTCATTATTGAACTATAGGCTTTATTTAGTTTGTTTTAAAGTTCAAGGAAATATTTAACCATTGAAAACAATGCACATTGGAATTATTTGAAAAATGTTATGTTTTTTTTAAATATGATTACAATTCATTTATTGATTTTTATGATTTTTTTGGAGTCATTATGGGGACAGCAACTCCCAGCAATCTTATGTGACTATAATATATTGTGATGTACAAAAATGCCTGTCATGAGTTTAAGACAAATGCATTCATATTAACATTAAGGTTGGAAAATGTATATATCAAATCATTTTATTCATGCTTCCCTTACTCCAGAGCCTAAAAAGTTTGTAAATCAACTTCACAGTCTTTCTACTATATGAAGCCCCATGAAGTTACAGACTGAATCTATTTGATTCACCATTATGCTAAGTGTGTGGTTGACATCCAAGTAATTATTGAATTAGACTCTATTTTACTAAAAAAAAAAAGGATATCTACCATTAGTTATAAGGTAACATAATCATTAACAATTAGGAACTAATTATATCATAGAAATTTTAAATAACACAATTCGACAAATATTTATTGATCTTTTATTTCAAATTAACCTTTAGCAAACCCCAACTGCCAGGAACTGTGATTGGAATCTTACGTAAATGATCTCTTTAAGATTTTGTAGGGCATAACATTTCTGTTGTCCTAAAATTTTTAAAGAAAACATACAGTTTTGATTGTTGTTCCTCAAAAACAAATAAAATTATTACCATCATAACTAGTTAGTAATTAATATTAATAATATGAGGAAAGTGAAGGGGAGGCCAGGCATTTTAAGCATGGTCATCTGGGCAGCTTCACCAGGAAGTTGCAACTTTAGGCTCCACAGGGAACCACTGGTCCATTTCCTGCAGATCACTGGGGTAAGAGAAATAGACAAATGAGCAGTGAAGTCAGGGTGAGTAGGAAGGTGCTTGCCTGTCAGTCTATCATGGGGAACCATGGATTGGCTAAGGGAAGTGGAGCCAATGCAAGCACACAACATCCTGAAGGGTTCATTTGTAAAATTCCCAGTAAAAATCCACCAAGAAGTTATCTCCCTCTTGCTTCTTGCTTGCTCCACAACCTGCACTAGCCTTCCATGTGGCCCTAGAAGCCAGGGGCCATGCAGAGCCCACAGGCAATGGACTGCATCTGGGAACACAAGCTAAACTAGCAGATGCTGGACTGGACTGGATTTGAGTATGGAGCGAAGACTCTGGACAGTGGCTTCGATCTTAGCTCTGCTGAAGACAAAATAGGACTTGTTCCATGGCAGGGTGGAGGGAAGTGGGACCTTGGAGGGGAGCTCCCTTAATGTTATATATGTCACCAATAAAGCTTTCCATGATACCTCATCCTCCCATGGGGGCCTCCAGGAATTCTTATCCTTGTGGTACAGCCAGAGCTCCACTTCCACCGAAATGATCCCTAAGACATTAAATATGTAAGTTGCTTTATATTTGATATTTTCTAGTTATTTCCAGTTCTAACATTCAAAACTAGTTCTCAATTATATCCCCTCAAACTATTGCTGTCTCTTCTAAACTTTACCATTTTCTTTTAAGAGTAGTTCACACATTTGTTCTCTTTTCCTCACCACCTATTCACCCTCCAGCTCAACACAATCTGGCTTCAGATTTTTACCACTTCAGGGAAATGTCTCTGAAAAATGATATCAAAGCCTCCTAATCACCCATTCCAATGCACACTATTTGGTCTTTTCCTTATTTTAATATTTCTCCAGCATTTGTTACTATTTGCTTCTTAATATCATGTTTTCCCCTTAGATTGATCCTAAGATTGACTGACATCATGTTCTTTGAGTTTCCTTCCTACCTCTTTGGGTGCCTCTTTTTCTGTTCATCTCTTAACCTGTTTGTGTTGCTTTTTCTGCACTGACACTTGTATTTCCTTTTGATCTCATTTGTCTGCTCAAATCCCCTTGTATTTAAGTTACTTCATGCAAAGCATTTAGCACAGGGCTGGGTACATAACAGTAAGTGTTCAGTAAGTGGAAGCTCTGAGATATCTTGCTCTATACATATGCTGGTTGATTCTAACTAAGACTATTACTACTACTACTTCTATCACACACACACACACATGCACACACACATGCACACACACACACACACACAAACACTTCACTCTCCAGTTGCATATTTTTCCCAGATTTTCTCTGACACAGGGCCTACCTTCTTTGACAACTGATAGTCCTCTTACATATTTTCACTCTATTTCCCAACCACTCTTACCCTAGGTTGATACAGTCCCCTGCATTGATCTCATCTTTAGTACTTGCCCTTGATTTTTATAAATATGAAAATACATTATAAAGCAAAGGGAGCAAGTATTTCTTGAATGTGTGCTATGAGTATATCTATATGAGCTAAATCTATCTCATTTAATGCTCACAACCATCTTATGGCATTGTTATTAATAACTCTATTTTGAAAATAATAACAATACATTTTCAAATTATTCAGCTTGTAAGGAAAAATGCCAAGGCTTATACGCAAATCTATGAAAGTCCAAAGAATCACACTACTCCATGCTGTTTGTTTTCTTGTGCTATTATTTGAGGCCAACTAGCAACTCTTTGCCTTGCCAACTCAGACAGTCCTGTAGAGGATATAGCTCTTGGTTGATATTACTTTTCAAGGATCTTCAAAGATGGCCATTATAGGCAACATTATCAGTAAGACTGATCCTGACTATGCAATTGTTA